GGAAAAAACGGTGTATGTAAATAGTTAGTGTAACATTGAGATAACATTAAGTTGGGTTGATGAGGGCTCAATTTAGCATGACTGCTAATTGTTTTTACAGGTATGTGATCATTAAATATTTAAATTATCTTTCATTTGCTTACGAGAGCATTTGATGCTTGCGCAGCAAACGCAAATGTCATCCAGCTCACCCAATGTCATTGTTGCAATTTAGGCCTCCTTCAGATGGGCCGAAGACTTGTCCTGTGAGCAGCCTTCCTTCATTTTTGCACCTGCACCTGCCTCAGACTGTGTGTGGGCAGCCTACAGAGGTGGATGCAGGCACAGAGGCTACATGGACACAGCTGCATGTACCCTCATGTCAAAATTCGACATGTGAGTAGTGCAGTAAGACACCATCAAAGTAGTAGTTAAGAACTGAATTTCAGGCTTCAGTGACCTCATCCAAGGTGGACCTGCCCTGGTGAAGTTAGACAGCACAACAACTGTGGCCTACATCCAGAAACAAGGGGGCATGTAGTGTCTCCCTCCTGAAGGAGGTTTCTCTGATTCTAGAGTTGGCCCAAGTCAATATCCTGCAAATATCTGCTGCCTGTATGCCCAGTCAGGGGAATCTTTAGGCAAACAATTTGTCCAGGACAATCCTGGACGATAATGAATAGCCCAGAATGTCGCAAGTCTTTCGAGAACTAACAAGCTTGGTAATCACTTCCTGAGCTAGACCTGTTCTCATGCTCAGTCAACATAAAGTTGTTTTCTATTCCAGAGTCCAGCATCCAAAAGCAATTGGGGTGGAGATGCTGATCACAAATTGGATCTCCAGGACAGCTTATGCCTTTCTGCCTCGCCCTCTGATTCTCAGCTTCCTGCTGAGGCTGTGACAGGGGAAAGTGATAGATCTAGTGGTGATCCCAGATTGGTTGAAGGGGCCTTGGTACCCTCTGCCCCTCCTAATGAGTGCCAAGGATCCACTCCCTCTGCCGGTAAGATCAGATTCTCCAAAGTCACATTCATCCAACACCTGATAGGCTCAGGCTCATGGCTTGGGTCTTGAGAGGCAGAGGTTAACAGATCTCAGGGGTTCTGTAAAGGTTGTGAATACTCCTATGAAAGCAAAGAAGAACAGCACTAACAGTGCCTATAGTAGAATATGACATAAATTCACAGGAATGTTGCTGATCAAGCTTTTACACTGAGCTCCCCAAGCCTGTCACTTGCTGAAGTTTCTGTAGGTGAGGCTTAATTTAGGTTTATGCGTAAATACGACCACATTTCATCTATGTCTGCCTTCAACGACATACAGTGGGGATCCAACACTCCTTCAAGCTGCAACTTGGTTGAAACCTACCTAAGGGATTGTGATTTGGGATCTCCCATTGGTGTTGGACTTGCTTGCATCAGATGCTTTCAAAGTGGCCCCTTGTTGTACCTCTCGCTGAAAACTGCTTTCCTGGTGGCAATTAAATCAACCAGAGGAGTGTCCGTATTAGCAGCCCTGGGGTTTAAAGAACCCTGTCCCACGTTCATCCTGGATAGGGTGGTACTCATGCTGATGCTCAAGATCATGCCTAAGCAGCCTTCATAGTCCATATCACATGAAAAGTTGTCCTTCCTACATCCCTCTTGGGGAGTACCCAAGAAGTTAGCCCATCAGATGTGGGTCAAACTTTACAATTTAACATCAAGGTGACATTTGGCATCAGGGTTGGTGAAGCTCGTCTCCTTGGCCTACAAGTTGAAAGGGTTGGCTGTGCCAAGGGGGATCACTTCTGTCCACCCAAAAGATCTCGACATCAGGCTGAGTGTGCCCAGACACTATCTGCAAGGCAGCTACATGGGGTCAATATATACGTTCATGGCTCATTACTGTATAGAAGCAGTCTTAATGACAGTTGACTTTGGCAGAGGCATCCTCACTTCTGCTTTGTAGCCAGAATTGAGGAGTGTGTAGAATTAACCCTTCCCTGTGTGGCTAGTTAGTTTCCAGCTGTGTTGACATGGAGCTGTCAGGAAAATTGAATGACAGATACTTACCTTAATTCTCCTTTCCCGACGGGCTCTATGTTAGCACAATTCCCACCCAGCTTGGTAGGACTAGTTACAGAACACTGAGGCTGCAGGTGGGCTCAAATTTATGAGTTAAGTACTGGAAGCATGGGGGGCGGAGCCCTTACCCAGCTGTGCTGACATGGACCCCGTCAGAAAAGGAAAATTATGGTAAGTATCTGTCATTCAATTTTCTGTTTTCTCTCTCTCTCCTTCCAAAAATTGCAGCCAATCCGATAAATCTTAAAAAATGTCCTTTAAAGTTGTTCCATTTTTCAGGCTTCAAGCATAAAATAATTTAAAAAGGGGTTTTTGGGTAATTGTGTGTGAGTGTGTGTTGCTGGTGAAGAGTTTTGCTGGCAAGGGGGATTTTTGTTGGTGGTGCGGAGGAGTTGCTAGTAAAGTGATTTTTGTTGTTGTTGAAGGTTTTGCTGGGAGAGAGTGGAGTTGGATATGAGGAAGGAATGCTTTCTTGGTGGGAGGAGGAAGAGTATTTGGCTGTATGTTGCCACAATCACCCGTTTTTTGTCAGCATACTGTCAGTTGCCCATTTGTTGTCCACATATTGTCATGATTGCCTGTCTACTGTTTGCATATTGTTACAATTCCTTATAAATTGTCAAAATTGCCAGTTTTTCATTTACATAGTGCCACAAGTACTAGCTTGTTGTACATATAGTGTTACAATTCCGATTTGTCATCCCCACATAGTGAGAAATGCCCATTTTTTTTTGCCCACGTGTTTTTTTTTTGCCCACATTTGTGCATTTGTTGCCCATATATTGTCACAATGAAAGTAAAAGTTACCCTAAATATTTTTGTTTCTATGTATATGCTCACATATGTGTATTTTATAAATTGTAGTCTTTTTTTTATTTTCATGTACTTCTTCCATCTGAAGTACCTGGTTGATCCTGCCAGTTACCTTTCTTCCCTGTTCTAAACTGATCAAACAAAGCACAGAAGCTGATATGTGCTTGCACGGTCAGTTTGCTTCCTTTGATTGGTCACTGTGCAGAAAAACAGAACAATTTTCGAAAATGGCGCAGGTAGGGAAACAGCTAAACTGCAACATAGTCATATGCATGAATATGCCGTGGGGGTGTAGGGTTATACTAAATAGTCTGTAAGTCCAAATATAGATGTGGCAGCTCCTCAATGAGACAGAAGTAATCTATGCATTATATAAAAAAAATAGAAAAAAGTTTATTAAAAATCACAAGTGGTAACTCATACGATGCAACAGGATAAGAGCGTGTAATCCCCCTAGTGTGATTTGCTGGCGAGCTTCAGTGGGTCTGCAGGAGCCAGAGAGCAGATACCGCTGGAGCTGGAGATGTCCTGGAGCCACCTTGGAGTGCATGAACATTGCAGGACTGCTCATTTTTCAAGCCTTGAAAAAGAAGCAGTTACGATCTGAAACATATAGCCACGCTCCCCAACCTGCAGCCCCCAGAGGTGTGGTGTCACTTCTGGTTCTTTGCAGTCCATGTGCTCTAGGGTGGCTCCAGAGTTTTTTGGTTTTGATTCTGGTGAACAGCTCCTGCCAGTGGCATCTGCTCCCGCCTCCTGAAGCCAGACCAAGACTCAACAGTAAAACCGCACTGGGTGGATTACATGCTCTTAGCCTTATACATCTTGTGAGTTTCCACTTGTGATTCTTAACATATTCTCTTATATACGGCACTTAGTTAGCAACTTCTGCTGAGTCTTTCAGACACAGGGCATTCCTAGGTAGTTTGTTCAGTCACCACACCCCCTGACCAATCACAGACTGCCTTTGGCACACACCTCCTTCCAATCACAGTCTGCCTCTTGAACACGCCTCCTGCTCAAGTACAGCCTACATCTTGCTTCAGGTTGAACAGAATATAAAATACAGGCAAACTGTGTGTCTGCACAGTGTCCTGTAACCCCACCCCCCCCCCCCACTATCAGGAAGAAGAGATACATGGTCACATGACATAATTGTAAAAAAAGGTTCTGAAACTAAGCAAACATTGTTATGGAGCCTGCATAGTATTAGAAAGTGTCTATAACACTGTATCTCCACAACTACTTTAATGTAGTCCCCTGTAGACATCTCATTATCAAAGCATATAGCTATTATGCTCATTTCTCCACAGTGCACTATATGCACCTCTACTAAACCCTTTTTTAAAATATCGTTTTATTTAGTACACTATTGTTTTCCCTGTGTTTCAACACTGTTCAAACTCTACATTGTGTTTTTCCAACATGATTATAAATAAATAATTCAGATACAGAAGTATTTACTGATACTATTTGTTTTTTGTATTGTTCACTTAATTTCATTACTACCAATAAAATTAGCCGGATGTATGGAGGAGTGTGGGGAATGGGAGTTAAAGAAAAATCTGCCCCAGGTGTCAGTTACACTAGGAAGTCCACTAGAATGCAGAACATCTGATTGGGACAAAATACTGCTGCTTCCTATTCCACTCTGAGCACTGCTGTAATGGATTCCAAGAGGCTAAAATCAAGTCTAACCCAGGCATTTATAGTAGTTGCATTTAACCACTTGCCCTCCAAAGGATTTCCCCCCCTTCCTGACCAGGACATTTTTGGCGATACGGCACTGCGTTACTTTAACTGAGAATTGCATGGTCATGCCATGCTGCACCCAAATGACATTTATGTCCTTTTTCCCCCCACAAATAGAGCTTTCTTTTGGTCATATTTGATCACCTTTGCGTTTTTTATTTTTTTTGTGCTTTCATTTTGGAAAAAAAACTATATTTTTTACTTTTTGCTATAAAACATTACCAGTAAAAAAATAAAAAAATCTAATTTCTTCATAAATGTAGGCCAAAATATATTCTGCTACATGCATTTGCTAAAAAAAAATCCCAATACATGTAAATTAATTGGTTTATGTGAAAGTTATAGCGTCTATAAATGGCGGTATATATACTGGATTTTTTATTTTAATTTCTTTTTATACTAGTAATGGCGGCGATCAGCAACTTATAGCGGGACTGCAGCCGGCATTTTGACACTGGGTGGGAACTGACTAACTGCCACTGACATCTCAATGACACTAATACAGTGATCAGTGCTAATAAATAGCACTGACACTGTACTAATGATACTGAGCAGGAAGGGATTAACATCTGGGGTGATCAAAGGGTTAACTGTGTGCTGTTTTACAACATGTGTTGTACTGTGTTTTACTTGGGAAACATGCTGCTGTTTATTTCTCTGCTGTGCAGAGAAATACACAGCAGTATGTTTTTGCTGGTCTCTCCCCTGTCAGTGTTACTAGGCAATCGCCGACCCATTGATTGAAATCCGTAGCCACCAATGGCAGCGTGGGTAGGGACCCTACCCAGGCGCACACCCCCTACCCGTAAAATACAAATCACATATATACACACGTCAGTTTGCGCAGCCCTGTCGCCCTGTAGCAGTATTTCTGCTATAGGGTGGCGGGCAACCGGTTAAAATATATTTAATGATATGAAAATTTATAACTGCATTTGTTGCTGTTGTTAATATTTTCCTGGACCTCAACTGTAAGAAGCAGAAATTCAACACCAGAAATTTTCATGAACACCCAAAGGGGTTTTGCAATACAATCCTGTTTAAAGTGCACATGGTCTCGGACAAGTTGTAGACTGTCTAGCATGTCTTTGGTTGTTATGTTGCTTTGTAACGATGTATGAGATTCTTTCATTGGTTTATGCTATCACTGGATATCTGTCATTATTTTAGATTTGTCCAATGTTTGGACTGCTGTATTAACCCACCTGCATCCATGTCTGTCTTTTGAAAAATATAAATAAAGAATGTAAAAAATCTAAAGTTCATATGTTTTAATTAATTGACATAATACACATACTCTCTAAGCACCATGTACAACTTTGGCTTGTTTAGTAAGGGTTATCACGAATATGCTCCAGAATTTTCTTAAGACCCAAATAGGTCTCCTGTGCAGTTGGTAGGATCTGAGATGCTGGAAGCAAGAAGCCGTAGCGTCTTTGGTCTCTCAACTCAAAGGCAAATGAATACTTAATCCCAATATCATAGCTCCAGTCAATACTTCCTCCACTAGCTTGATCTGAAGAGAGAATAAATATCAGAGCAAAATTAGTTTTGTTATACTCAACATACTCATACAGCAAAGAGGCCCATGAGGGCATATTTAAAAAATTAGTACAAAAACAAAGAAATAGGGAATTTGCTTTGTTGTTAACAGAAGATAACTGGATAAGCTGATAACATTGTTTGAGATATCAATTCAGGACATTACAAGCACACTGGATTCCTGAGAGGTATTTTTCTTGCAGAAAAATGTACTTAGCCTAAAAAACAAAAACAAAATGGAGGTTGCCACTACATCGAAGGACTTGTAAGTTGCAATATATTTAAATGTTATTCTTGGGTTTAGCTTAATTTTAATTGTGTGAACTAGAAAGGTAGTAGAGTGCAGTTAATAAATTCATCTGCAGAAAAAAGAATAAACACTATTATTTGCAATGTTTCATCACAGGCACCAGCATCAAATTGTACTGCCTGTTGACATCCAGTGCAATAAATTTAAGGTTGTACCAATTTGTTGGATATATAGTAGACTATCTATAAGAAAGCTTTTCTAGGCATTTTATAGGTTAAATTGCAGAAGTATTATTTGCACAGTGCTGGAAAACATAACTTAGAACAACCTTTCTCAACCATTTCAACACAGAGGAACCCTTATAATAACTTTCCAGTCTCAGGGAACACCTGATAAACATTACTATATCTACAACTCATGATACATTAGCATGATGGTCAGTGGAAAGAATATTCATTACACTTGAGGACATCGGGAAGAATAACCCACTTACAGATAGCTAAAAAGATCAATGGTGTCAGTGAGAAATGATCTGACAGGAAGACATTGCTCATTGCTCTGGAGGAACCCTGGGGTCCCATGGAACACTGGTGAAGAAACTCTGGCTTAGAGTGTCAACATCTAGTTCAGTTTTACAATTCAATTTTTTTTTGCTTTCTTCCAAAGTAGCATTTCTTTATGCTGGCATGTTTAGAGTAAATGCAATACACACTGGCTTCCAGAGAAATTGATTACATTCAGTTATAGTCATACAATTTGTAGGCATCCTTGTTTAGTTCTGTGCTGAGAAGAGATCTAAAGATGGGTAAAGTGAAAAATTAAAAATTTGACCTACAGATAGTGGAGCAGATTGTTCCAACTTTGTACTGGGTGCCATAGAGAGAGCTCAATGCGCTAGTAGCAGCTTTGCCAACTGTGTTCTAGAAAGAGTAAAACATATTTAATTAAAGTTCATTCATGTAGGCTGATATAACCTCTATTGTAATGTAACACCTATTCAGTCCACATAAGGTAGTTCTAACAGATTTTTTTTAAGAGGACTAAAGATGCAAAACAATTCAGTGAACATATACCTCCCATCAGCTAATACTTCTGTGTAGCCATACACAGCCGTACACTTTAAATATGAGTATAATTATCGTGAATGTCACATGGCCAGGTATAAGATATCAGTTTATTTATGGTCAATGCCATTTTCATAAAAACAAGTAAAACTGCTCGGGAGAGATAATCTTCACCAGACTATTATAAAATCAAGGATGTAAAATTATGACTCAAAGTACTCTTTCTAAGCCTATTCTTACATATAGTCCAGGGGAACCGGCACTTAAAAAAGCAGAGGTTAAAAGACTTAACAGGCTGCTTGGCCATGTTAAAAGGAATGGGAGAAAACATCTTGAAAAAGGCTTCGGAAAAAAATCCATAAAGAAGGAACAAAACAAGGCCAAAAGAGATTATTGATCTGGAAGAGGACCTAGGACAGCTGAAAGCCAGAATCTAGTGATTGAGAGGGATAGTGTGGAATGTGCTCAAATGGTGCCGCATGTGACATGTCTTCAAGGGTTATAGTGCCAGAGAGTGAGAGACAAAGAATTTCCTCATTAATGTATTCTATTTTTTCTTATAAACTGGCACGCTATCCTCTGTATTGCTATCATAATAAGTTATTTTTATTCATTTTGTGTCAGTTTTTAAAAGAGTTACAATATGAGTGAGTCATATGAGATTGCCCATGCTATTTTACATCTAGCCATACGAAATTCACAGTAGTCTGTTATTACAGTGTGAAAAAGCTCTATTAGGTCTTTGTTGCTGTCTACAGTATGTCCTGATTGGTGAAATTTCCCCCATCCATCCCAAGACATGATAGGAAGGAGGATAAGTCTCTCCAGTGGAGAATAAGAAATACAAATCTAAACAGAAGTTCTTATCCCTTTACCATTCCAAAATAACAGTTTTATCTGACAATCCATTTTAAGCCTATCACAACTCGGTTTATACGTGCAAAACAGGTCATGATATTACTTTAAATGCATCTCGTAAGACAAGCTTACCTTTTCTTACTAATTCTACAGCAATAACAAAAGCATGAGAAATACCAGGAAATTTGGGTCACCAATACCATCTCTTATAGAGCTGATCTGATAGTATTTTATAATCCCAGTCAGCAAAGACTGCTTTCTATATGTACAGTATTTAATTTAATTGCATAAGGCAACAGGACTGACCAGTGGCGTCCCGAGGCAGGTGCGGGGGGTGCGGTTCGCATCTGGTGACACCGATCGCACAGGGTGACACCGGACCTGCTCCACAAAAAAGTAAGTTGTAAAGCAAGCCGACGATCCCCGCAGGATGGATCGGATCCATCCTGCTGGGATCATCGGCTTTCTTTACAACTTACCTTTTCTTGGAGTGGGTCTGGTGTCACTCCGTATAGGTTGCATGCCGACGATTCTGCAGGGATCGTCGGCATGCAACCTATACGGGGTGACACCGAACCCACTCCATGAAAAGGTAAGTTGTAAAGAAAGCCGACGATCCCCGTAGGATGGATTGGATCTGCAGATTGAGCATAATGGATCGGAGTCCGATCCATTATGCTCAATCCGCAGATCCAATACATTCTGCGGGTATCGTCGGAGGGGGTGTCACCAAGTGTTACTGTCCCGGGGGACACCAACCCTAGGGACGCCTCTGGGACTGACTAATATGAATATATATTGTATGTAGTATAATTTTATAATGTGTTTTCAATCTTACACTTGGAAAGACTTACCAGCTCGGTGTAGTGAGCAGGATTGGTGCACTTGTATCCGTAAGGGAAAAGCAGCAGCTGGGAGTAGCTGTGGATGCTTATAAATCCTTTGATTTTGCCATGACTCCTAATAAAGTTGGCAATAGATTTTACCTCTACTTCTGATTCTGCACTGGGTCCATGGTATGTATCAGAACAGGGGTTAGCTTCAGCTCCTGGCCCTACATTAAAAAAAAATAATAGTTTGGTATTTCTATGTTACTGTTGAATGTTTGAAGTTTGAATTTCCAGACCACACATTGCCCATTTGCCTTAGTTCTCAAACCATACAGTGTAACTGACTGAAGAAAACATTGATTGATTGATTCCAGCTTTAGATCTGACATGCTAATTGTTAGTTGTAGACAAAGGACATTACAGAACTAATTAAATAACTAAATGCCTGCACCATACTTACAGTAGTTATGTGAATCAATGCAACTGAAGCTAGAAGCTATACTTTCATTATCATTTTTCAGGTTGCATATGATTAGTATTATGGTTCTTTGAACATATTGGCTTGTGTGTCTGAGAATCTGGATCCCATATTAAGTAATTTTGCACAACCTTCTGTTTTGGTTTATTTTTTGTTTCTAAAATATGAAATCACTAGTAGTTTAAACAGACTGATAACAAGCATAATAATGTTTGAAAAACATCTTAATTTATGGGGGGGGGAGTGGTGGGAAGTAGTGACTGAAATGTGGATATATTCCACGGTTTGTAAAGATGTAGTTACCTCCAAAGCCAGCATTCCAGTTTCTGTTGGGGTCAACACCTTCACATCCACTGTTTTTATCGATGGAACGGGTTTTACGCCACATGCGGTACTAAAAAAAAAAAAAAAATAGTAATATGCTGCATACTAACATGTCGTATTGTTTTTAGTTGGGTCTCAATAATGGAATGTCTTATAGAATAAACCTTGCTGGTTGAAACGTCAAATGAATCTTCCTACCCAATCAACCTAACCTGCAATACCAATATACTTAGAAATGCTCCCCTAGTACAACATACATTCCTGCTATACATCCAGTTCATTTAGAAAAGCAATTAGAGAAAACAGCCTCAATTTA